AAATGGGCCTTGTCCTCTCTATATAGCTTGAAAATTAACCTGACTGAAAATAGAGGGATTCCTGCAGTTCTGACTGACTAGAGAGAGATGGTAGAATGGTCTGGCTCATGAGGACTGGGGTAGGCATGGATAAATTTCCACAATGAAGACAGGTCCTTGTTATTTTAGCTCTATATACGTTGAAAATTAACCTGACTGCAGGAATCCCTCTATTTTCAGTTCTGACTGACTAGAGAGAGATGGTAGAATGGTCTGGCTCATGAGGACTGGGGCAGGCATGGATAAATTTCCACAATGAAGACAGGTCCTTGTTATTTTAGGCCTGTTGCCAAAGAAGCAATTTTAGGCTGCACAAAACTAGTCAAGAGTGGGAAGACCCTTAACTGCAACGATAAATAATTCTGGGTTTTGTTTTCTGTTTTGTTTGCTTGTTTTGCTGTAGATCTGGAATGGAAAATAATTTATGTGGGTTCAGCTGAAAGTGAAGAATATGATCAGGTGTTAGACTCTGTTTTAGTAGGACCTGTTCCTGCGGGCAGACACATGTTTGTATTTCAGGTAAGTTTGATTTATCACTTTCTAAAAGGGTTGTGGCAATTTGTTTAAAAATGACTGCATCAAACTAAGAAGCACTTGAAAAAATAATGGTAAGGTAGAAAAGTATTTCAGTCAGTTCTGATATACCTTCCTTTAAAGTCTGCTCATGAGCTGCTATTTCTTGCCCCTGAAACTTCCATGGAAATGTTTTCAGTTGTGGAATCAGTAATCAGTAATATAAGCACTCTGGCTGTAGGTACTGATAATTTTGACCAGTCTGGTTTATAAATGTGTTCTAGATCACTCAGTAACCCAGGGTGCCAGCTACCTGGTTTACACTAGTACCATCAGGCCTAACTCCGCTGCAGTTGGTGGCAGTTTCAGACCATCAGCAGCACTAGGTTAATGTAGACAGCATCTTCAGAAGATCAGGCCAACACATTCGTTCTAAAACTCAGCCAGAACAGTCAAGAGTCTGTTTCTGTTTGGCAAGATAAATGTTCAACTGGGATGTTTGGCTTAGCATGCTAAATCACAACAAAATACAACCGTTTGCAAAATAAGACAGAATTCCCATGGTAGATAGCAGGCGTCTGGGATGCAAGGACTGTCCAACAAACAGTCTTGAAGAGGAGGCTGAGGGGGGATCTTCGCCATGCTTATAAATATCTAAAGGGTGGGTGTCCGGAAGATGGGGCCAGGCTCTTCACAGTGGTGTCCAGTGACAGGACTGGGGCCAATGGCCTTAAACTGGAAAACAGAAGGATCAGCCTGAACATGAGGAAACAATTCTTCACTGTGAGGGTGCCAGAGCTCTGGAACAGGCTGCCCAGAGAGGGGGGGGAGTCTCCTTCCCTGGAGACTTTCAAAAGCTGCCTGGACTTGTTCCTGTGTGACCTACTCTGGGTGATCCTGCTCTGGCAGGGGAGTTGGATTGGATGATCTCTAGAGGTCCCTTCCAACCCCTACCCCTCTGTGAATCTGTAAACTCTGGAGCATGTGACAGTCTTCTAAAATACTGCTGTTAGAGCCAGAAGTTACTGAGAAGGAATAATGAAGGGAAAGAAAATGGGGAAAGAGCAGCACTAAGATGGCTTACTAGCCTATTCTGGTTTCCATTTTAAGTCAGTGAGAGGGAGAAAACCTAAAGCAGACTTGCCTGAATTCTTAGGCAAGTGTGGTGTGGCTTTTTGTTTTTTAATTAAAGCTATGATTTGGCTCACTTTTTTATTTATCAAATACTAGTATTTGTCTTAGAAACTGAGAGCAAAATCCATCAACAGAAAAATCCAAGTACAGTTTATAGTGTAAGAATGTTACTTTCCCAAAAGCTATACATTCACCTGTTTGTTTAACAGCAAATGCATGCCAGCGTGTGAGCATTAAAAAAAAAAGTGCTAATGAACACACTTTCTTCTTTCTCACAGTTAACTGTAACTGTTTTAAAATAGTGTCAACATTTGTGAGGCATCTTGATTAAACCTGTAAATTCCAGGAAACTTTTAATATTTTTATCTTGCAGGGCAGTCTAGAGAATAGGATTAGGCTGGAGGTTGCATTTGTCAACCACATACGTGCAAATTAGTCTTGAAATATTTATGTTTGGTTTTGGAGCTGGGCCTAATTTTTCCACACTACACATAAAGCAGATATGTAACAAATGCATAATTTATTAACAGTTTTTCCATTATCAAGCTATTACAGCTTCCAGCATTAATTGATCAGAAGTAGGTGATCCTCTGTGGCCCTCAAAGGGGCTGCCTTGTAGCACTCTATGCAGAGAAATCCGCTGGCGTTTATGTTGCTAATTTGCACCACACACTGTTCTCAATGAAGTTAGGAAGATTCCTTGTGGATGGTGATGGAAGGAGCAGGAGGCAGGTGTCTAAAAAAGCATGCTTTGGCTGTATGATTAGGAAGGCCTCAGGTGAAATTTGCTTGATGGCCTCATTGATTGTATCCTGGCTATAAATGACGCTACAGCTAATTGGGAGCAGATATGTAGGCATTTTGCGTAGACCGGAATAGGTCCTGTAAGGGAGTCGGTACTCCTCCTGCGTTATATTAAAGCATCCCTTCTATTTCTTACGGAAGAAGTACTGTTGGTCTAAGTATAGTAGACTTCAAAAGCACTGGATTTCAGGTGAGGGTAGGACTCCGCTGACGTGCAGACAGGAGACCAGCAAGACACCAGGTGCTGCAATAAGCCTTTGCTGATGACCAAGGCTATTTTATTTGCCAAACTGAAGCAGCCTGGGAGATGGAGAGAGACCTAGTGAGGGAAGGCCAGAATGGGGCAAAGCACAGAATTGCAGGAGGTGTAGAATGTAAAGAAATGAGATGGTGTTCACCAGGGACAGCACAGGGAAAGGACCTCTGCATAGGTGTATACAATTTTCAGCTGGTAATATGCTGTAGATTTTTCTAAATAGGAAAATGGCTGAAAGAGCAAGTAAAATGGAGTACCACAGAGGTAAAATAGCACAGATGATAAAACTGCCTTTGTTGAAAAGAAGCTGTGGAACAGGTTGGGAAGTCAGCCTTACATCCAGAAAGAGGGGAAACCATTGTGCTTTTCAGATTTACACAATAGGCCTTTTTTAAACATTTAAAGAGTTTTCAATATTAAAGGCCCACAGCTTGGCCTGTTTGGTTCTAAATAGCAAGATACACGTAGTGAAAGCCAATTTCCTTCTCTCTGTGCACTTGGGGGTATGTAATAAATTCAAGGAAACTTTTTTTTGAGAATATAAGCACACAAATAACTTAGTATCTTTAAGTGGGGATATGACCTCACACTAACGTGGCTACTCTGCAGTAATAGCTATGTGAAAAAATGTGTCATGTGGGAAAGCAACATAATTCAAGACAACATATATATTGAGTGATTTCATAAAATTCTTAAGACCTATTAAAACAGTGAATTTTATGCAAAAGCTAATCCTACTGCCTATTTTTGCCTACCAGAATATGTATTTGCACTTCCTTATCACTTGGTCAGACCAAGCTCTTTGCTTTTTCTTCTACCTATGTATGATGAGGTGTTTCCTGAGCAATTAGGAGCTTTGATGTCCAAGACAGGAAGCTCAAAATTTAAGAAAGCAGGGTTTTTTAAAGTGTTCTGTGTCTTTTCCACTCAGGAAAACAATGCTTGAGAGTTATGGAGGATGAAACCAGAATATTTCCTCGGGTTCACAGCTGTATTGTAGGGTATTACAGAACACAATGACAGGGGGAGCCTGGAAGAACTAAAATACCACATTGGGGTGTGAGTTGAGTTTTGGGGGGGGGGGAGGCTTAAATGGACCAGTGTCCTTTTGCAGTATATTATTCTATAACTGCCCACTATGGAATTTAAAGTAATCAAATGGTCCTGGGCACTACTAGAACAAAACTACTGAATTAAAGTACTGATTTCACCTGTATTAGCAATTCTTGTGCTTTCTTCAACCTTCTACACTTGTCCTATTCTTTGGTCATCTTTTCCATTCCCCTAGGTCAAGCTGTAAAGCCATTTGATCATCTTCTGTTCCCTTCAGGGCAGGAGGAAGCTGTGTTCTACCCAATTCCCTGGTTGCTTCTCCTCCCCCTGTGCATTTGTGCCTGAGGGGTCTGACTCCTCTAATTCTTCTGCAAAGTGCCTACAGCATCTTATAAAAAGCTAGACTGGTTTGAAGGCTTAGAATTGAAGTAGCAAAGAGGAGAAGCCAATGATGCATGACCACTATCTCCCCAATTTCACAGTGCTGGAGCATATAAACACTACAGAAAAGTAGGGATGAGAGGGACAGCCGGAATTAATGCCATTTGTCCTCTGTCCTAAGGCAAGATTGATTACACCTGAACTGTCTTGACATACATTGTTAATACCAACTTGTACTCGCAATACAAGTGTTCATTGTCTGCTTCACATTTCATGTAAAATTGTAAATATGAAGCTGTTTCATTGGTGCTTCGACTGCTGTTACTTTACATCCTACAGCAGAGTGAGGCGTTGCATTTTATCAATCATTGTGTAGTTAGTCACCATTTTAAGGGACTGATGTGAGCCACACTTTGAGGCGAACTTTACTGATTATTAATAATAACTACAGAGCCACAGTAAGTAAGGACGTTGAGGAAGATCATAAGAGTTGCCTGTTAATTAGGATTGCATACTGGCTGAAAATGTCAGATGTCTTGGTGCGACGATACATCTTAACAAATGTAGGCATGTGGAAGGAGGTGAGATGTATGTTTATTCCTTTCCTAGAAATATGTGGGACAGCTCAAACCTCACTGTAGCCTGTCCCTGCTCTTATTGCTCAAGTATAAATTGCAGTCTGTATTTTTAATGGCTTAGTCTTGTTAAAAACATACATACAGACCAGTTCATCCTCAGAGGTCCAAAAATAATAATAATAGAAAACCTCGCATTACTAAATTAACCAGATGGGCTGGAGAACAATGGCAGTGTAGAATTGGAGGGATGTTAGTAGCTCAAACAACAGTTTGGCTGATCATAGATTTAAAAGAAGTTTAGGATCAAAGCTTGTCTAATCACCCATGAGAAATGTCAGCACACAATATTCCTGTATTCTAAGTAATTCTGTCTCTAGCGGGGTAGTGTCCTAAATTCAGGGTTGATGTTGTGAAAGCAGGTGTATTTTCTGGTTAACCTGAGGAACAATTTTTCAATACAGTCACTACTCAGCTGCTAAGACATACTAAAGATTCCCCTGCTAGATAGGCATGTGGTATCAATTTTATTTTAATCCATCTTTCCCTTTCACGTTTAGGCTGATGCTCCTAACCCAGGGCTTATTCCAGATGCAGATGCAGTAGGTGTAACAGTTGTGCTAATTACATGCACCTATCGAGGTCAAGAATTTATTAGAGTCGGCTACTATGTAAACAATGAGTATACCGAAACAGAACTGAGAGAGAATCCACCAGTAAAGCCAGATTTTTCTAAGGTAAGGCACAATTTTTATCTAGTCATGTATCAATGGTATGCTTAAGGAAAGAGGTTCTTAAAAAAAAAAAAACCCAAAACCAAACCCTAAGTGATTCCATAAAGTGCATGGAATTGAGTCATCCTATAGTTGAAAAATCTTGTGGGCTCAAACTGCAAGTGCGATGTAGCTGCTGTAAAGTTTGAGAATATTTAGAAACCTGCAACAGTTTCTTTTGCCAGTTTGAAGCCTTGGCTGGACATTATTATTTTGCACCAACTGTGAAATAAACCATTGGGTTCCTTCTACCTGCACCACTGCTGACAAAGTGGTTCTGTTCTTTAGAAAAACAATAATGTTTTCTTCTAGGACAGTCAACCTAGAACTAAGGCTTAAGTATTAACACAGCCACTATACAGCTGTCCCAGTGTGAAGAGCTGCATTTCTGCAAAACTTAACTTGTACTTCAGTTGGCTTTTATGTATAAAATGAGAGAAGATGGGTAACCTGGTGAGAGCAGATTGGATGATTATCCAATCAGTGGATAACCTGACCAAGGAAGTATACAGATTAAGTTTAAACATAAATATCCTTCATAATAACAATTTAAGCAGGACTAGAATTATTGTAATTGATGGGTAATATTAATAATAATCATCCAATGCTGGCTGATGAAAATGTCTAGTATTACC